TAATAAATATTTTTCTCTTGGGACTTCTGGGGGAGATGGCAGAGTAGGAGGCTCCTGAGCTCACTTTGGCCCATGGATACAACTAGATAACGCCCACATCAGTGTAAATAACCCAGAAAATGACCTGAAGACTGGCAGAACAAACTCCACAGCTAAATGTAGAGAAGAGGCTATACTGAAGAGGGTGGGGAGGGCAGAGATGTGGTTGGGAACCGAATGGATTTGCAGGACTAGTCTTGGGAGGGAGGGACCAGCTGGCATAGAGAAGAGAGAGGAGCAGATCCCCATGCCAGGCACCCCAGGTACAGGGGACCCACACAGGAAAGATGAATCCCCATAACATTTAGCTTTGAAAACCAGTGGGGCCTAACAATCAGTGGGGCTTAACACTTGAAACTTTAAAAATCAGAGGGCTGGGCTCTGGTAGAACCTGAAGGGTGAGTCCTTGCCTTTGAAGAGATAGCACAACAAACAGTCCCCCTGAGATACAGCCTAGAAGCAGCAGTTTGAAAAACACCTGGGGTATATGGGAAGGAGATTTATTTACTAATTTCAGCGCATGTGCTGGAGGTGCAGGGATCTTTGAGAGACCTCTCCAAGAACAAAAGAGCTGGCAGGCACTGTTTCCCTCCCCTGACCCCAGCCTAGATACATAGACACGTGTGGGAACCAGCTCAGCATTAAGACTCTACCCAACTCACTAACAGCATGCCCTTCCCCCAAGGACTTCTGTGGATTTGCCCCTTCCAACCTGGCCAACCTCAGAGTTTTCCCAGGCATAGCTACAGGTCTCCTCTCAAAGTGGACTGGCATGGACCTTGATGGCACCGTGCATCCTGCCCCCATATTCTACAGACCTGCCCCCTCCAATATGCCCTTGGCTAGAGCCCATCCAAAGCAGTGCCACCAGCCTGGCAGTGTGCAAGGAGCCCCAACAAGGGCCAGTACCACTCCAAAGTGACTCCTGCTCTGGGGAGAGGGTAAGATACCCACACAGACTAGTCCAGCTGTGGCTCTAGCAGTGGGCTAAGGGCAGATATTGGGTCTGACTGCAGGTCCTGCCCACAATTGAAAGCTTCTCAGGAGACAACCCAGGGAAAACATCCTGCTGTTGCATCCCTGACAAACACCTGGTCTGACTCAACTCAAGCCCAAGGTTGGCCCCAGACTAACCCACTAAGAACACAGGGACCAAACCCTGCCCACAGCAGGCAAACAGAGCCATTGCAGATGACTGGGCTGAGACCAAACATGGCTTAGCCACAATAGTAGGTCGCATGCAGCACACATCACTGACACCCAGGAAGGTGAACAGGGGACATTGCACTGCAGGGCACTACAGGACTTCTTCATAAGGTCACTACTTTCAAGAGCAGAAGATGTAGCTAACTTTCCTAACACATAGAAACAGACACAGAGAGTGAGACAAAATGAGGAGTGAGATGAATATGTCCCAAATGAAAGAATGGGATAAAATCACAGCAAAAGAGCTAAATGAAATGGAGATAAGTAATATGCCCTATAGAGAATTTAGAGTAATGGTCATAAAGATATTCACTAGACTTGAGAAAAGAATGGAGGACCTCAGTGAGACCTCAACAAGGAGACAGAAAACATAAAAAAGAACCAATTAGAGATGAAGACCTCAATAACTGAAATTTAAAATACACTAGATGGGAATAAATAGTAGACTAGAGGAAGCAGAAGAATAGATCAGTGACCTGGAAGACAGAGTAGTGCAAAGCAATCAAACTGAACAGGAGAGAGAAATAATAATAATAATTATTATACATGAAAATAAGCTAAGGGAACTCAGGAACACCATCAAATGTAATAACATTCATGTTATAGAGATGCTGGGAGAAGAGAAAGAAAAGGCAGAAAATTTATTTGAAGAAATAATAGCTGAAAAGTTTTTGAAGCTTGGTAGGACACAGAAATCCAGATCCAGAAGGCACAGAGAGCCCCCAACAAAAATCAGCAAAAGCAGATCCACATCAAGACACACAGTAATTAAAATGGCAAAAAAATAGTGATAAAGAGGATTTTAAAGGCAGCAAGAGAAAAGAAAACAGCTACATTCAAGGAAACCCCATAAGGTTATCAACTGATTTTTCAGCAGAAACTTTGCAGGCTAGAAGAAAGTGGCATGATATATTCAAAGTGCTGAAAGGAAAAAAAACCCTGCAGCAAAGAATACTCTATCCAGCAAGGCTATCATTCAGAATAGAAGGAGAGATAAAGAGTTTCATGACAAACAAAATTTAAAGGAATTCATGACCATTAAACCAGCCCTACAAGAAATGTTAAAGGGAACTCTTGGAGTGGAAAGAAAAGACCATAAGTAGGAGTAAGAAAAGTAGGAAGCACGAAAGCATTAAAATTAAGTATATCTATAAAAATCAAGGGATTCACAAAATAAAAGGATGTAAAAAATGACACCATATATTTAAAACATGAATGGGGAGAGGAGTAAAGGATGGGTTCAAACTTAAGTGACCATCAACTTAATATAAGCTGTTCTATGCATAAGATGTATATATAAACCTAATGTTAACCACAAATCAAAAACCAGTAATAGATATGCAAAAAATGAATAGAAAGGGATACAAGTATATCACTAAAGAAAGCCAGGAAACCATGATTCAAGAGGGCAAGTGAAGAAAGGAATAGAGAAAAATTACAAAAACAGCCACAAAACAAGTAACAAAATGGCAATAAGTACATATCTATCAATAATTACTTTGAATGTAAATGGGCTAAATTCTCCCATCAAAAGACATAGGGTGATGCAGTGGATAAAAAAGCAAGACCTGTCTATATGCTACCTACAGTAGACTCATTTCAGACCTAAAGACACATGCAGATTGAAAATGAAGGGATGGAAAAGCATTTATCATGCAAATAGAAGTGAAAAGAAAGCCAGGGTAGCAATAGTTATATTGGACAAAACAGACTTTGAAACAAAGACTGTAACAAGAGACGGGGAAAGACATTATATAATCATAAAGGGACCAAGCCAACAGGAAGATGTAACAATTGTAAATATTTACGTACTCAAGATGGGAGCACCCAAATACATAAAGCAGCTAATAACAAAGGAAGTAATTGATAGTAGGGGACATTAACACCCTGCTTATATCAATGGGTAGATCATCCAAACAGAAAATCAACAAGGAAACAGTGGCTTTGAATGACACATTGGACAAGATGGATCTAAGAGATATATTCAGAAAATTCCATCATAGAACAGCAGAATACACATTCCTTTCAAGTGCACTTGGAACATTCTCCAGAATAGATCACATGCTAGGCCACAAAACAAGTCTCAACAAATTCAAAAAGTTTGAAGTTACACCATGCATCTTTTCTGACTACAATTCTATGAAACTAGAAATCAACTAGTAGAAAAAATCTGGAAAGAACACAGTACATGGAAATTAAGTAACATACTAAACAATGAGTAGATCAACCAAGAAATCAAAGAGGAAATAAAAAATACAGGGAGACAAATGAAAATGAAAACACAACAGTCCATAATCTCTGGGATGCAGTAAAAGCTGTTTTAAGAAAGAAGTTTATAGCAGCACAGGCCTATTTCAAGGAGCAAGAAAAATCTTAAGTAAACAATGTAACCTTAGATCTAAAGGAGATAGAAAAAGAACAACCCCCACCCCAAACCAGTAGAAGGAAGGGAATAGTGAAGATTAAAGCAGAAATAAATGAAACTAAGAACACAGTAGAGCAGATCAATGAAACCAGGAGCTGGTTCTTTGAAAAGACCAACAAAATTGATAGATCTTTAGCCAGACTCATCCAAAAAAGAGAGAGAGAGAGAGGACTCAAATAAAATCAGAAACGAAAGAGGAGAAATGACAACCAACACCACAGAAATACAAAGGACTATGAGGTTATTATGAAAAATTACATGCCAACAAACTGGCCAACCTCAAAGAAATGAATAAATTCCTGGACACATATAACCTTCCAAAACTGAATCAAGAAGAAATAGAAAATTTGAACAGACCAATTACCAGCAATGAAACTGAATCAGTAATCAAAAAACTCCCAACAAACAAAAGTCCAAGACCAGATGGATTCACAGGTGAATTCTACCAAACATTTAAAGAAGAGTTAATACTTGTTCTTCTCAAACTATTCCAAAAAATAGAAGAGGAAGGAAAGCTTCCAAATTCATTCTGTGAGTCCAGAGTTACCCTGATATCAAAATCAGACAAAGACACTACAAAAAAGAGGACAATAAGCCAATATCTCTGATGGACAAAAATGCAAAAATCCCCAACAGAACTTTAGCAAAACACATAATACATTTAAAAAATCATTCACCTCAATCAAGTAGGATTTATTCCTGGGATGCAAGGGTGATTCAATATTCACAAATCAACTAACATGATACATCACATCAATAAGAGAAATGATAAAAACCATAGGATCATTTCAATAGATGTGGAAAAAGCACTTGACAAAATACAGCATTGATTCATGATAAAAACCCTCAACAAAGTAGAGGGAACATACCTCAACATAATAAAGGCCATATATGAAAAAACCACAGCTAACATCATACTCAAGCTTTTCCCTTAAGATCAGGAACAAGACAAGGATGTCTACTTTCACCACTATTATTCAGTAGAGTATTGAAAGTCCTAGCCACAGCAATCAGATAAGAAAAAGAAAAAAAGGCATTTAAATTGGTAAGGAAGAAGTCAAACTTGATATACTACAAAGCTGTAGTAATCAAAACAGTATGGTACCAACACAAAAACAGACACATAGATCAATTCAACAGAATAGAGAGCCAAGAAATAAACCCATGATTATATGGTCAATTAATCTCTAACAAAGGAGGCAAGAATATGCAATGGGAAAAAGACAGTCTCTTCAACAAGAGGTGTTGGGAAAACTGGACAGCTACATGCAAAAGAATGAAACTGGACCACCTTATTACACCATACACAAGAATAAATTGAAAATGGATTAAAGACCTAAATGTGAGACCTGAAACCATAAAAATTCTAGAAGGGACCACAGGTTGTAATTTCTCACATTAGCCATAGCAACCTCTTCCTAGGATATGTCTTCAGAGGCTTGGGAAAAATAAACCATTGGGACTACATCAAAATAAAAAGCTTCTGCACAGCAAAGGAAACAACGAACAAAACTAAAAGACCTGCTGAATGGAAGAAGATTTTTGCAAATGACATATCTGACAAAGGGTTAGTATCCAAAATATATGAAGAACTTATGCAACTCAACAAAAAAACAAATAATCCAATTACAAAATGGGCAGAATACATGAACAGATATTTTTCCACAGAAGACATACAGAGGGCTAACAGACACTTGAAAAGATGGTCATCATCATTTATCATCAGGAAATGCAAATCAAAGTCACAATGAGATGTCACCTCACACCTATCAGAATGACTAAAACCAACAACCCAAGAAACAAGTGTTGGTGAGGATGTGGAGGAAAAGGAACCCTTGTGTACTGCTGGTGGGAATGCAAACTCTTGCAGTCACTGTGGAAAACAGTATGGAGGTTCCTCAAAAAATTAAAAATAGAATTACTATGTGATTCAGTAATTCCACTACTGTGTGTTTACTCAAATTATGGAAACACCAATTAAAAATGATACACGCACCTCTATGTTTATTGTAGCATTATTTATAATAGCCAAATTATGGAAGCAGCCCAAGTGTCCATTGATTGATGAATGGATAAAGAAAAAATGGTATACATCTGCAATGGAATAGTATTCAGCCATAAAAAAGCATGAAATCTTGCCATTTGCAACAACATGGATGAATCTAGAGGGTATAAAACTAAGTGAAATAAGTCAGTCTGAGAAAGACAAAAATCATATGACCTTCACTCATATGAGGAGTTTAAGAAACAAAACAAATGAACAAAGAAAAAAGGGGGAGAAGTGAAATAGGTAAAGGGGATTAAGAGTACACTTACTATGAGGAACACTGAGTAATGTATAGAATTATAGAATTGCTATATTGTACACCCAAAACTAATATAACACTGTATGTAAACTATACTGGCTTTAAAATAAAAATTTTTCTATCTAGATGTCCTGTCTATCTATCTACCTATGTCTTTATACACATCCTGTTGGTTCTATTTTTCCAGAGAACTGTGACTAATGCAGTTGGACTAAGTAGTTTTGATTCGTAGATACAAAAACAGAGATGATGGAATGTAATTATTTTGAAAATTACAAACATTATACAAAATGACTTAATTTGTCCAGTTTCATGGTTTTCTAGAACATCCGATTTAAAAAGAATGATGCTGAGAAAACAGGGGAAATTAAAATAATGTTTTAAAAGTGGTTTAGAACATTCTTTAAAATATCTAGTGTTTGAAATTACTGCAGTAAATTTCCCCTCTGGCATATTTTAGGAATGGGATAAATAATGATTAAAATGAAGCATTACAGTTGGCATGTGATAAAAGGAAATCATGTCTTTACCTTTTGGTTATCAATTAATTCATGCTTTAATTATATTTTCATGAAAATATATAGCTATAAACCCTAATTTATGCTTGATATGCATCATGGTATAGTTTTACCATACACAATTAAAAATAGGTCCTCTTTGATAAGATTTTTTTCCCTTCCTAGTTCTTCTGTTACTCAGCAATGATTTTCTGGATTAAGGAAAGTTGTTTCACCATGTTTGGAAAACATTTTGCTATGCAGAATGGACTGTGTTTGAAATAATGTTTTCAGAAAGTGTAGAGATCATTGGTTACTGGGTTTTGTTGTTTTTGTTATTGACTGAGAGGCAACGTGTGAGTATGTTCTAAATTAGAACTATGATGATAAAAATATAGAAAGGTTGAAAATAAACATAGATGAAACATGAGATGAAGAACTTGAAAATATTCTTTAAATGTATGGGATCCAGTTTTAAGATTATGGTATGCTGAGAAAACCCTCTCCACATTGAATTTTGTAAATATTCTAAATGTGTTACTGATGACTTAAAAATAGGTCTTAAAACTTGGAACATTTGTTGTGAAAAACTACCTTTCTAGCTTTATTTTATTTTTTTTAAAGATTTATTTATTTATTCATGAGAGACAGAGAGAGAGAGAGAGGCAGAGGGAGAAGCAGGCTCCCAAGGAGCAGGGAGCCCGATGTGGGACTCGATCCCAGGACCCTGGGATCATGACCTGAGCCAAAGGCAGACGCTTAACCATCTGAGCCACCCAGGCGCCCCTACCTTTCTAGCTTTAACAAACAAACAAAAATCCATTCTGATTTATTATATAAGGATATATTCCTAGCACTGTGTGATGTGTATGCTGTACCAAATAGTGTTAGCCCATCAATGGAAATACAAGTGATCTTTTTAGAATATTGGGCCTCCATGTAAAGTAGATGTCTTTTGATCCTAGGCAAAAGGGCATAGTATAAGAAACTGTAAGTAAGTTTAAGATTTTTATGTTAAGATTTTTCTTTTTTACCCAAATCTTCCATTCCTAGATTTTCTTGACATTTTTTCTGATGCTGGCTCCCTTAACATTTGTACAAAAAGAAAAACGAAGATTTAAATACTTTTTTTTAATCCCCTAAGAAACTTGTTGAATGTTAGATTTTGAAGTATGTGCATTTTGCTTTATTTATTTATTTATTTATTTATTTATTTATTTATTTTGAAAAGATTTTATTTATCTATTTATTTGACACAGAGAGAGAGTGAGAGAGAGAGCGCGCACAAGCAGAGGGAGTGGCAGACAGAGGGAGAAGCAGACTCCCCGCTGAGCAGGGAGCCTGATGTGGGGCTCAATCTCAGGACCCTGGGACCATGACCTGAGCCGAAGGTAGCTGCTTAACCAACTGAGCCACCCAGGCGCCCCTGCATTTTGCTTTTTTTTTTAAAAAAAAAATAATGCTTCTAATACTTTTTATGTGAAGGGTTTGGTTTTGTTTTGTTTTGTTTTGTTTTAAACATGAAGGGCGCTTTATGGCATGTTGGCAGCCTCTGAAGGGGGTTGCTGGAAGGCGAAGGGCTGAGACTGTTGTCTGTACAAAATCAGGACTTCCCAGGAGAGTGGAACTGTTCATGTCTAAACCTGAATAGTTAGAAATTGTGTGTGGGTAGAGGGGAGCATGAGCACAAGGGTTCTCTTTCTCAGATTCTCCAAACAGGAGCATCTCAGCCCCTTAGAGCCCCCTGCTATGGACTCCAGTCTGAGAGAGCAGATAAACAGATATCTCCTTGTTCTTTGTAGGGGCCAAAACCTTACGGATCATGTAGGACAATATCTTTTAATTGTGAGTTTGAACTATCATTTCATTTACTGTTTTCCCGTTTACTAGGCTTTCTTAGAAAATCATTTTATTTGGCGAGCAGAGGTGGGTATACTTCGGACTCCTAAGGGCCACCCTGCACTATCCTGAGTGTGCACATAAGTGCATGCCTGAGGTGCCATAGTATTCAGCCAAAGCTCAGGGGGTGCATAACCCACCGACCCTTCCTGCACAGAGCTTGCTAGGTGCCTCTGGTGCGATCTGGTGCTCGCTCACAAACAGCTCCTGTGAGGAGTGTTCTGAACCCTTCCTCTCACTTTGCTTCCAGTTTTGATGGACTGTTTATAGGTACAGAGCCAACTGATGGTAGAACTGTGTTTTCTTTTCGTCTCAACCCAGGGCCTCGCCCCCTGATTTGTCTAGTGAGCATCAGGAAATTGTCCCGAGGAAGAGTCAGGCTTGAGGCCTGGGGGCATACATGACATAGGCCCCACCCAAATTCATTCCACTTAATAAGATATTAATCTTTCTCATTAACTGAAAACCCTACATGGAGAAGCTTTCCAGGTGGAAGATCTGTACCATCCCCGGAACCTGCCTGGGTGACGTTCACAGTGACTGAAGACAAAAACACCATATCTAATGTCTGCTGAGAACATGGACTCTGCATGTTTTTTTTTTTAAGAGGGGTTGGAGGGAGTCAGGGGGAGTAGCAGAGGGGAAGGGAGGAGAAAGAATCTCAGACATTCTCATCGCTGAGCAGGGAGCCCAGTACTGGCCTCTATCTCATGACCCTGAGATCATGAACTGAGCTGAAATCAAGAGTCAGATGCTCAACCGACTGAGGCACCCAGGCTCCCTGGACTCTGTGATTCTTACTCTTTCTGTCTTACTCTCTGTTGTCACAACATATTCTTTTTCTTTTCTAAAGCTAGCTGTCTCCTTGTCTAGACAACCCCCGCCCTTCCATCTGCAGATGGCTTTGTGTGGGAAGCCCACGGACTTTCTTTCTACCAAGAACTTCCCCAAGATGCATAGGTAATTAAGCTAGTCTAACTCTCGAGGTGTTACTCCTGCTAGTTGGCACTAGCCAAATAAGTAAGCCTTTGCCAAAATGAAGATGACAGTATTTTTCCTCCTTTAGTGAATTGTTTGGGATGTTTATTCTTTTCAGTGGTTAAGACTCATTTGGAACCTGTCAGGATGGGCATCTCAAAAGCAAGGTTCTGGTCAGCCAGAGTTCCTGTCAGATTTTTTTTTGTCATTTGCGTACAGGGGCCCTGGATTTTAGAATTCCCTCAAGATCAGGTAAATTGAGAGGGTACAGAAGTGGGCCATCCAGAGGCATGATTCATGTCTCATAAAATAGGAGAGCTTATTTCTTTCTCAGCTTTAGTCTGATTTTAATTCAGCTTTCTGATTAGACCCTAGTGCAGTATCCTTATATTTGTTTTTCTCTTGCCAAGTGCTTGCAGATTCTTTGGTTTCTAGATCTCTGGGTCATGATCTTTATTTCCTCTGTGACCTTCCAAACCTATTATCAGGGAAAAATTGGAATGGACAGACCTCTCCCAAGGGCAGTTCTTTTTTATTTATTTATATATTTTTAATTTTTTATTAATATAATATAATGTATTCTTTGTTTCAGGGGTACAGGTCTGTGATTCCTCAGTCTTAAACAGTTCACAGCACTCACCATAGTACATAGCCTCCCCAGTGTCCATCACCCAGCCACCCCATCCCTCCCACCCCCCTCCACTCCAGCAACCCTCAGTTTGTTTCCTGAGATTAAGAGTCTCTTATGGTTTGTCTCCCCCTCTCTGGTTTCATCTTGTTTCATTTTTCCCTCCCTTCCCCTATGATCCTCTGTCTTGTTTCTCAAAATCCTCATATCAGTGAGATAATATATTTATCTTTCTCTGATTGACTTATTTTGCTTAGCATAATACCCTCTAGTTCCATCCACGTCATTACAAATGGCAAGATTTCATTTTTTTGATGGCTGCATAATATTCCATTATATATATGTATATATATGTATATATATATACATATATATATACACACACACACCACATCTTCTTTATCCATTCATCTGTCGATGGACATCTTGGCTCTTTCCACAGTTTGGCTATTGTGGACATTGCTGCTATAAACATCGGGGTGCATGTACCCTTTCGGATCCTGCATTTGTATCTTTGGGGTAAATACCCAGTAGTGCAGTTGCTGGGTCATATGGTAGCTCTATTTTCAACTGTTTGAGGAACCGCCATACTGTTTTCCAGAGTGGTTGCACCAGCTTGCATTCCCACCAACAGTGTAGGAGGGTTCCCCTTTACTCCACATCCCCGCCAACATCTGTCGTTTCCTGACTTGTTAATTTTAGCCATTCTGACTGGTGTGAGGTGGTATCTCACTGAGGTTTTGATTTGGATTTCCCTGATGCCGAGTGATGTTGAGCACTTTTTCATGTATCTGTTGGCCATTTGGATGTCTTCTTTGCAGAAATATCTGTTCATGTCTTCTGCCCATTTCTTGATTGGATTATTTGTTCTTTGGGTGTTGAGTTTAATAGGTTCTTTATAGATTTTGGATACTAGCCCTTTATCTCATGTCATTTGCAGGTATCTTCCCCAATCTGTCGGTTGTCTTTTGGTTTTGTGGACTGTTTCCTTTGCTGTGCAAAAGCATTTTATCTTGATGAAGTCCCAATAGTTCATTTTTGCCCTTGCTTTCCTTGCCTTTGGCGATGTTTTTAGGAAGAAGTTGCTGTGGCTGAGGTCGAAGATGTTGCTGCCTGTGTTCTCCTCAAGAATTTTGATGGATTCCTGTCTCACATTTAGTTCTTTCATCCATTTTGAGTCTATTTCTGTGTGTGGTATAAGGAAATAGTCCAGTTTCATTCTTCTGCATGTGGCTGTCCAATTTTCCCAACACCATTTGTTGAAGAGACGGTCTTTTTTCCATTGGACATTCTTTCCTGCTTTGTCGAAGATTAGTTGACCCTAGAGTTGAGGGTCCATTTCTGGGCTCTCGATTCTGTTCCATTGATCTATGAGTCTATGTTTGTGCCAGGGCGGTTCTTAACACAGTCAGTTCTTACATGCTATGACATGATACACTAATTGATCAGTTGTGTGCTATGCTGGATACACTAACAAATCCCCAGTCTGATAATGATTTCCTTTTTCATGTAGTTTAAAGTAGATTCTCATTTATTCCTATAATTCTGCTCCTTGCTTTATAGATATCCTTTCTCAGATGGAAGAGAAGTAAGAATAGCAACTCTGCTGTGGTCATTGTTGATGTGCTAGTAAAAGTTTTGATAATTGCCAGTTATATTAATATCTATATCACAGCCATTAGCAAATCAGCAGAAAAGATGATGATGCAAATAAAACTTGCAATAACATGATTCACATTTATTATATTTTAAAAATCTATATATTCTATGTACTGTAATTTGCAACAGTGAACTAATATATTCTTATGCTTGTTCTTCAATAATGCATGTCTTTTTGCTTAATTAACCTCACCTGTGGAATAGCATTTGGAAAGAGACTCACATTAAAAAAAATTTTGAGATAAAAGCAACTATATTTCTTTTTTTCTCACAAAAAATGGCAAAAATTTGAGGACTTTTTATTTTTTTAAAGATTTTATTTATTCATAAGAGACAGAGAGAGAGGGGTAGAGGGAGAAGCAGGCTCCCCGCTGAGCAGGGAGCCCGATGCAGGACTCGATCCCAGAACTGTGGGATCATGACCTGAGCCGAAGGCAGATGCTTAGCCATCTGAGCCACCCAGGTGCCCAAATTTGAGGACTTTTAAATTGCAGCTTCCTGACCCATATGCCTATGATATACTTTTATAAATACTATGGCATGGGGTGCCTGGGTGGCTTAGTCAGTTAAGCATCTGACTCTTGATTTCTGTTCAGGTCATGATCTCAGGGTCGTGAGATCGAGCCTCAGGTTGATTCCCATGTCAGGCTCTGTGCTCAGTGAGGAGTCTGCTTCAAGATTCTCTCCCTCTCCTCTGCCCCTCTCCCCACTCTCTCTCTCTCAAATAAATAAATAAATCTTAAAATAAAAATACTATGGCAAAAATTCTGTCTCTCGGTTGATTTCATCATAATTTGGTTTTGTCAAAAACAGGTTGGGTTTTGCAATATGTTGTATCTGAATCTCATCTGTCAATGGTTAAAGAGGGATGGCCATGATACCAGTCTCATAGGACTGGCATAAGAATTTAATGACCTGAGTATATACCGTGACCTACAGTACAGTAAGTATTGGCTCTTATCAATCTCAAGCCCAGGCTAGTGATGATTCTTCAACACCAGTATTTTTATACTTTTTTTTTTTGATGATAGGAATGGAAAGGAATTATCTACTACTAGACTAGATTTCAATACCAAATGATATAAGCAGTATAAAACGTAAATGTCCTTCCGGTGTAATTTATCTTACTATTACAACTTTCAGATTTATTATTTAAATGATCTCCTGACATAATTGAATAGAAAAGCGTTCCTCTTTAGGCAGATGACATTGAATTTCCTTCTCCAGCCCTAGAAAGCAGTTGATCTCGTTGTCACATTATTCTCTAAAGGAGCAGCTTTATATAATCTATGCCGAAGGTATTGTTATATTGTTAATAATTCTCCAACAATGATAAGCAAGCCTTCCTGAAACCTGATTTGTTCAGTTGCTTGGGGGCATATTTTAAGACTAATTTTGTGTGGAGATTCTTTGAGCAGTCAGTGCTGCTGAAGACCAAACATTGTATTGGAATAGCACTGAGGGTCTTTTGGGGGTGGGGAGGGCTTGAGGTGGGGATACCTGTTTCCTAAAATATGGCTTATGGCATTTCTGGTGGTATTGGCCAGACTGTGTTCTATGGTACATTAGTCTTGCAAGATGCTCTGAGCAATGGTATCACTGTAGTCAGACAAGAGTACTTATTCTGTGCCTGCTTTGGGAAGTCCACACTGCATGTTAGCTAATTAAAAGCTCTGAGAAGTCTTGGAGCAAAGAAACACTTGGAGAAACAATTATCTTTGGTATTTTGGAATTTGGTAATTTGGAAACAGTACTTTGGAATTTTAAACAAGTGGTTTTTTTCAAATACTTGAGTGGCTCCAGAGCTGTGTCTTGTGGTCAGTTTTGGCCCTAGATGCTGCTATGGCTGACTTGTGTGGCCCCGGGGGTGATTCTTTACCCAGGCAAGGATTAGAAACAGTTTTTCAGCTTCTGTAATGGAATGTTAACTTTGGGCTACCCTGAGTTCTTCCTTTGGGCATGAACACAAAGTACCTACCCTCCAGGCTTTTTCCTCAGAGTTCAAACTTGAGGTGGCTTCCCTCTGTAACAATCTGTAACAGTTGCAGAGGGAAGAGAGAAGTACAGAAGATAGTAGTCCTCTCTTCGCTATTAATTAGTTTCACTCATAAATTACTGATCACAGTTCACAAGAGAGCTACCATTCCTTGGCTTCTTCCGGATAGTTCTCCATAAAACACCCTTACTAAATTATGTTAATACTGTGCCCTCCAATTCTCTAGATCTGCATAATGTCTGACATTATTAGTATCATTTTCCAGCCTTCTGTTGTGTACCTTTGTTGAAGACATGGGTATTGCTATATGTCTTTGGCTTAAATTCTCTTGATTAGTACTTCTTGATGAATTCTGTTTTGAATTTAGTGGTAAAAATGTTTGTTTTTTCCTTAAAAAAGCCACAATGTTTATCCTATTTTATCAGATGCATCAAGTATAATTAAGTATTCTTTCAGGTTTTCCTTTTTGCCTAGGCTGCTAGGAAGATCAAAGTCAAATTTAATATACACTATAATAATATCTGCATATGTTTTTCTTTAAAAAAAACAGGCTTATAAAAAAATAAATAAGAAAAAATAGGCTTATATATATGTATATTGCATCAATTCCCTTTGGAAGGAGGTGGTACTTAAATTTTTTTTTTTATTTAAAGACTACTATTTACAGTATTCTTTATTTTTATCCACATGAAAGGAAAAATGGTATGGAAAGTTAAGTAAGTATTGTGAAAAAAAATTTAATTGAGGCAGGTATTGATTTTTAAAATCATCAATGAACATTTTATAATCAAAGTCTTAAATGTAAAATGAGAATTTTAAAAATTTGACTTCATGCAATAAATCTCCTTACTTACAAGTTTTAAAATAGTATTCATTAAATTTTATATTAACAGTGAAACACACCTTTTATGCAAAGCCTGTGTTCAGAAAATTTACCTTCAAATCATTTTAACTGATAATATTTTTAAAGATTTATTTATTTGAGAGAGCGAGAATGAGAGAGAGAGAGTACATAAGAGGGGGGAGGGTCAGAGGGAGAAGCAGGCTCCTCGCCAAGCAGGGAGCCCGATGCGGGACTCGATCCCGGGACTCCGGGATCATGACCTGAGCTGAAGGCAGTCGCTTAATCAACTGAGCCACCCAGGCGCCCCTGATAATTTTTTAATAGAGATAAATGTTTTGTGTGTTAGATTTCACACCGGCTTTCAAAGCTCCTTAATTCATTATATAGCAAAATTCCTTCATATAGAAATTGTGATAAAAAAAGAAATGCTGAAATGCTTTATAAAATTAGGTATATAAAACATTTTGGAATATACTTAAGCACAACAATTTCTAAAGGTTTCGGTAGTTAAGAAGTAACTAATAAATGAAATAGTAAAATACAATGAAAAATAGATGCTGGCCATGAAATCTAGAAATGTAGGTAATATTACTTTAATTTTTCAAATTAATCTTCCTTGATTACTTCTAGAGTATCCTAAAGGTGTAGGTTTAGTGAGTGAAAATCAGAGGTATTGTATCTCAGGCAACATTTCTTAGATGTTTGTGCAGGTACTGATGGCAACTGTTAGTACACTGTTCATTCCAATTTTGAAGAGTATGTTGAACTATGCATTTTATCTTTATTTCTTATTTTTATTTTTTAAAAATTTATTTAATTTAGAGAGAGAGTCAGAGAGAGAGAGAGAGCCCGGGGGTGGGGTGGGGAGGCAGAGGGAGAGAATCCTCAAGCAGACTCCCCACTGAGGTTGGAGCCCGACGGGGTTCGATCCCACGACCCATGAAATCATGACCTGAAATCAGCTGAAACTGAGAGTTGGATACCCAACCTACTGAGCCACCCAGGTACCCCTGAAATATGCATTTTAATGAGGGACAACACATCGAGCATATCATGTATTCTTATATAACATCAGTTAGCCATTTTTATGTATGGTCCTGTATGATTTTGGCCACCCTCTAGAATGTTTCCAATGTTAATAGTGAAGAAAAATGAGCTTTAAAGATCTGTAGTCGTATTTTATTTTGTCTAATTTCATTTACATATATTTACTTGATTCCAGGAGAACACAGGATTGTTCTTACAATTATCCCAAATAAAACAAAGGTCTCACATAGAAGGAGCCATTCCTTCAATCCTCTGTTCTCAAAAAATTCTCTCATTTTTTTGTCTTGATTACATGAATCCATAATAAAATTGGTATAAATAAAGGCTATATGCCTAGCGACTAGAAAGTCAGGGAAGGGGATGATGACTGAACTCAAATCTTAAAGTGCAATCTTTTGGGAAAAGCTAATGGGTATGGCCTATGTAGATGTAGAGACAGAACTAGAGCCAATGGACTGAAGCCACAAGAACATAGATTTCAGCCCTAAAAAGAAAAATTTTTAATAATTACAATGTTAAAAATAGAATTGGCTACCCTGTAGAATTACCTTGTAGAATTATTGGATATGTTTAAGCAGAGCTTCAAAGCCAATTTCCAAATGTTAAAACATCTGTTTCATGGACTCTCAAAGCTCCCTGTTCTTCTCCCTGTCAGCACCTGATCACACTCTGCTGTGTGTTTGTGTCATTATCTGTCTCCCCATCTCCAGGAAGAACCCCCTGAAGGCAGCAACCATGCATTACCATTTTTGTATCTCTAGCCCAAAGCTCACTGCTTGGCACATAGTAGATGCTCAACAAATGTTTGTTGAATGGCTGTAGTTTGAAATAATGATTTTTAAAACTTTTTTTTAACCTGTCCTTCAAATTGAAGTCTAACATAGAGATCTAGTGTGTGAAAGAGATAAAAACTGGATCTGTTCTGGTTAAGTGGAGTTCTAGGGCCTGGAGACCTGCCCTTAAAGCACCTCTGAAGAATTCAAGTTCAGAGCCAAACCATCAAGTTTGATGTACAAACTTGAACTTAGAAGACTTCTCTAGTTTACTGTTTGACCTCTAGTTCTTTGATTCTTAATCCCTTTATTTCAAGTTTTCTGTGTTTCATTTTTAAGCTTTTTCTTGTCCTCAAAATGTTTTCTGAGGTAAAGAGCCAGATGCTAAATAGAAGAGGTATATGCTTGTATTTACCTCCAGACACAATTTCTTAAGTTTTTAAGCTGGAACAGCTATACAACACATTCCCCAGTTCTTGCTTATACATTTTTGCTGTGGGCTTTTGGTTTCCATACATTTTTGGGTGGGAATATCATGTCTTCCATGTTCTGGCTCCTGACTCTGGCTGTGGATGAACTGGGAGCTTGGTAAGCTCATTGTCATTACTCAGACATGAAATTACATTTCATAGAAGCCAAGAAGATAAAGGAAAGGGATGACCCAACCCTGCAGATGGAAACAGGTGTCATAATGGCCACAGCCCTGCTACCTCCTTTGCACTTACCCAGAGAGAGGGTGAGAACTGAGTAGTCATGCTAGTGATGAGCTCTGTCAGCAAACTGGTCAAGGAAACAGAGGAAAGGGGGAGAATGAATGGCAAGAAGAGAGATGGGTTCATGGCCTTCATGTTACTTCCCAGCAAAGGATATTCATCATCCAAGCGCTTCTATGTGTGGAATTCCATGTACTACCTATACTAATCATCCTATGACAGTGCTTTTCAACCTTGAGCATCCATTAAATTAAGACTTTGATTAAATGCATTGACCAGAGATAGGATATGATTGCATATGATTTGCTTAGATGAAGTAAGAAATTGAAGTGATGGGAATGAGATACTTTTGATGCTCTCAGTTTATAGAAAATCTTCGATCCTATTTTTAGGAGCTTTGACATGATTATGGAAATAACTTGGGGCTATTTTATTGTGTTTGGCCAGCTAGCTAGAGATGGTGTTTTTAGATATATTAGAAGAGAACTAGTGTGGGATAAAGAGAAGGAGGAGGTAGAGGAAGGGCTTAAGAGGAACGGGGAGCCAGATGTTTGCAAGAACATCATAAACCTTGTTCCCATGCACCCGCCTCCAGTATAGCAGCTTTCACGTATATTTGAAATATATGAGGAGTCAGTGCTGCTGAAGCACTTGGGTGACCAGAGGAATGAATTCGGTAGGCATTCAGCAACTCCTGGTTGGCTTTAAGTAGGAAAGAAGTAAAAGACATAGTGGGTTACCAGCAACAAGGTTGGGGATGATAAGAAGCCTTAAAATGACCTTGTGAGCTGACGATAAAATACCCTTGTTGAAATGTTCTGTAAGCAGGTTTTAGGTTGAAACTAGTTTTGCGTATGGAACAATTTTCAAAATCCTTATCAGTACCAAACAGGTAAGTAACCTATTTGTCGGAACCATTCTTGATTTTAGCATTCACTGCAAGCTGTGTGCTCCATGTCGCCTCCCCGCCCCTCAGCAGATGACCTTCTCTCAGACTTCGTAGAGAAGAATATTGGAAGGGTCTGGTGGCTGGTGTTGGAGAGGCCATTTGAGGTGGAGGACAGAAGTACCAGAAGCTAATGCATCATAACGTGCTAACAGGGCAAAATAGTAAAACAAAGAAAGTAGATGATAACAAGGGCAGAGAAAAGGAATGAGATAAAGAAGACTAAAAAACGTTGTTAGCAAAGAAATTTTTTAAATAAGACAGTGAACAGTATTAGCAAAAAAATAAATAAAAGACAGGAAAATGGTGAAAACATCAAGGAATGTGCTAAAAAGGAAGGGGGGTATTTAGTGCTAGGCTAAGTTAGCACCTCTGTTGTGGGGCAGAGTGACCCTGTGTGGGGCAGAGACACCCTTGACTGTCTGAGGCAGAGACCGTTTTTGTCTCGTTGGAGGCTACATTCACAATGTCTACTATTCTTCCCATGGCTATAAATATACGTTGAATTGAACAGATGAGATATAATAATAAATTGGCAAAGTCCCACTTCATTTTTCCAGACCCAGCATAGGCTTCCCTTGTTTCCTCTTAAATCTGGGGTTGTTTTGGAGGCAGAAGTCCTCCGAGGTGGTCAGTGTTTGGGCAGACATCTTGCATCCACTTCTCCTAGACCCACGAGAAAGGCATTTTCATGGCTGAAGGTTTTCACAGCTCTCTTCAACTAGAGGGCCCTGCAGATGTACAGACCTTTTCCAGCAAGACTCTTCAGGTCCTTCTCTTTGGCCTACGAACACACTGCCCTCCATAAAAACATCTCCTCCATCCTGCATTCAGTGCACTCTTACCTCACTCTTTGCCTCATAGACAGACTCCCTGGAGGGGAGTTTCAAGGCATAACACTGTTTCTTATAGTGTTTATATGTTTAAAAGTCGAACAGAGTTTTGTTTTGTTTTGTTCTTTGAAGATTTTATTTATTTATTTATTTATTTATTTATTTATTTATTTGAGAGAGAGTGAGCTGGAGAGAGCATGAGCAGGCGGGGGGGCAGAGGGGAGGGAGAAGCAGACTCCCCGCTGAGCAGGGAGCCCGATGTGGGGCTCGATCCCAGGACCCTGGGATCACGACCTGAGCCGAAGGCAGATGCTTAACCGACCAAGCCACCCAGGGGCCCCTAACAGAGTTCTTACAATTTCCATGTTGATGCTTTTTGGGAAAACAATGCATCTCTTTATTTTTCAAAATTTTATTTCTTACTGTTGGTACCCTAATTTGCTGATGTCCTAACCTTCATCATTTTGAAGGGCAATCCAGCATCTTTCTTGTCTTCAGGTACCTCTTGATGCTTTGTATATGTTCTTATAATGGCATGACCCTTCTCCCTTCTCTTTGCTCCAGCCATCCTTTTCCCAAATAACTCAGAAAATGAATTGAACTTATTGTTATGCATTTGTTGTCAGAATCTCACTCTATTTTACTTTTCTGCCCATGTCTTCTTTTATTGCTTTGCTTTTACTTGAAGTTTCTCATCTTATATACAACTGGCAGTTCCGCTCTCTCTCCAACTCATTTAGTCTCTTTTCTTCACACCACCCCCTTCCATCATATGTTCCAATGATGCAGCATTTGAAGTTACCACAATCTGCCAAGTGCTCTTGACTCTAGGCATCTGCAGATGCTGTTCCCCCTTTCTGAACACTCTCGTCCTCCCTTCACCCGACTAACTCCTTGTTAGATCTCAGTTTTCTGCTGTTTCCTCCAGGGAATCTCCCCTCACCTCATAGATGAAGTGCAATCCATTTGGGGAACGTTACCCAGCCCTCCTTACCTCTTCTTTGTAACTTTGTAACTTTGTAAACACTTGTCAAGACCTGTTTAATACCCCATAAAATGCACAGGAGCAGAGACCATTTTTGTCTTGTTGGAGGCTACATTCACAATGCCTACTATTCTTCCCATGACTATAAATATATGTTGAATTGAACAGATGAGATATAATAATAAATTGGCAGAGCCCCACTTCATTTTTCCAGACCCAGTTCAAATGTCATCTTTCTACGAAGCCTCTTCCTCCCCAGGCAAAAACATAGTTCCCTCATGGAACTTACACTTTCCATTATGATTGTTCAGAAGTCAAATGTCAGACAAGGAAAGGCTG